TGGCCCAAAATGGTCGGCACCGGCTGTCCCAATTTGAGGAATACGGCTGGCATTAAAGGAGTTAAGACCTGTGTTTCGCTGCTGCCATTTAGGTGCACTTGGATTTATTTTGTCTTTCTCTCTCCGCCCCCCCAACCTGAAATGTTTTCTTCAGGTTGCTGATCTCAGCGGTAAAGACGCGGTGCACATCATCTGCAGTTTAGAGAATGAGGAAACAAACGAACTGCTGTTAGCCCTCTGTCAGGTGTTCCTCTCCCAACAACTCTGCAGGGGTGACATGTACTATTTATGGTGGGTGAAGCTCACTTTAATTCTTCTTTTTTTGTTGTTGTTGTTAATAGTTCTAATGTTGTCTTGACGCCCACGTGCTCCTGTGCAGGGAGCTTGTTTTTATCTGGAGCAAACTTCATCATCGGCTGAATACTTCCAAAGAGGCGTTTCTTGAGGAAAGCCGTCGCCTCATGCTGTCTGCCACCAACGTCAACGCAGTCTTCCCGTTTGTCCGAGTTGTCATCGAAGAGGTGAGAATCGCGCAGATGAAAGTGATGATGTGGCTACTTAACCGAATGGCGAGTGGAGCGCCTCCCCGTGCGCCCGATGATTTGACGGCCCTTTCTGTTTCCGTCTCGCTAGTTGGGTGAAGACGGAATCCAGTTCTGCGTGGAGCTTTGCGCGGACGCCTTGAAATCTCGTCTCCCTTGCGACGCCATCACCAAGTCGCTGATCTATAAAACCATCGCGGGCCTGCTGCCCAACGATCTCGAAGTGTGTCGGGCGTGCGCGCTCCTGGTCTTCTTCTCGGAACGCAGCGTGGGAGCCTACAAGATGGTGTCTTTGCTGTATATGCTTCCAGACCAGGACTACCACGTTGAGCACAGCCCCATCAGAAATCAAATTCGATTTGAAACGCTGCAGGTAAAGGACTCTCTTGAAATACACGATTTATTCAGGCCTGACCGATTAGCTGGTCGATTCATTCCAAATATGTACATAATGCATGGAATAACTTTTTTTTTTTTTT